CTGATGGTCGACGCACCTTGGCTGTGGTAACAAAACTCGATCTCATGGATGCGGGTACTGATGCCATCGATATATTGTGTGGGCGTGTGATACCGGTGAAACTGGGCATTATTGGTGTCGTAAATCGCTCGCAACAAGACATTATTGATAAGAAGCAAATTGACGACCAACTCAAGGATGAAGCTGCATTCTTACAAAGAAAATATCCTACACTAGCAACGCGCAATGGCACTCCGTACTTGGCAAAGACGTTAAACCGCTTACTCATGCACCACATACGCGATTGCTTACCAGATTTAAAAGTACATACACATATACTTGCTACTTGAATTTAAATATTCAACTTTTCAAAATATTTTCTACTTTAGACACGAGTCAACGTAATGTCATCACAATTCCAATCATTACTTCACTCATATGGCGAAGACGTGTCGGACCAGAGCCAAACGCTGTTGCAAATCATAACTAAATTTGCTAGTGCATACTGCTCCACAATCGAGGGTACAGCACGAAACATCGAAACAACAGAATTATGTGGCGGTGCACGCATTTGCTATATATTCCATGAGACATTCGGTCGCACTCTCGATTCCATACACCCGCTGGCTGGTTTGAGTAAAATGGATATATTGACGGCTATACGCAATGCGACTGGACCGCGGCCTGCGCTCTTTGTGCCGGAAGTATCGTTTGAATTGTTGGTAAAACGTCAAATACGGCGCTTGGAGGAACCTTCCCTACGTTGTGTAGAGTTGATACACGAGGAAATGCAGCGCATAGTGCAACATTGTGGTAATGAAGTGCAACAGGAAATGTTACGGTAAATATTCAGAACTATAAAATACGTTTATTGGAATCTAACATGTTTACTATTACGTCGACAGCTTCCCGAAGTTACATGAAAAAATTGTTGACGTTGTTACCCAGCTCCTGCGTCGACGCTTACCAGCCACTAATGTTATGGTAGAAAATTTGGTGGCTATTGAGTTGGCATATATAAACACCAAACATCCAGACTTTCATAAGGATGCCGCGCTTGTTCCCAGCTTACTGAAAGCGGATCATATTATTGAACCATTCAACAATTTGAGTGCACAATTGCAAAGACGCACGAATACTCCGCGTAATTCTAACTCATCGCCTCAGGTGTCAGCAACACAGCAACAACAACAACAACTACAGCAGCAGCAGCAGCAACAGCAACAACAGCAACATCAGCAACAACAACTTCAAAATGATACTCAAGAACAAGTAAATTTTGTGTGAAACTTATTAAATGTAGCTATCATTTCTCTTTCCCCAATTTTTAGAACCATATTGGTGAGAATGCTGTCGGCCACAGCTGGCTAGCAACTATTTTGCCTCCGGCACCATCGACATCGCCGGCCACACGTGCTCTTGAAAGTCACGATAATTCTGCTAGCAATACACCATTACATAATAATATTCAAAGCCCAGTAAAACCGGTTAACTTGTTGCCCGATATGCCGACCCATCATGGTTCAAGACGTTTAACTGATAAGGAACAAAATGATTGTGATGTTATTGGTGAGTGTAGCTGTAATGTTGTCGATTGTTAAATCGATTTTCAAATGCACCAAATATAGCAACTGCCGGTATGCAGTTGAAGGGTGCTTAGAAATTTTGGTCCATATGTGCTTACATATATTCTTAAGTCAGATAATGCGCTTATCAAGATTATGCAAAACCGCGTATGTGAGATTGCATAAATTATTTTCTAGAGAGAAAAAACACTCATTTCAAATGGTTCCCTTTTTTTATTAAGCAATCGCATTTCTGGCTAGCATATTTCAGGATGAATTGATAAGGATTGAGGCAAGGGCTTGTGTGAGCAAATCCAATTTTTGGCAGCCAAAGTCATTTTGAAATATGAGTGGTTTTACGCTCTAGAAAATGAAATCTACAACTTCACATACGCGGTTTTGCATTTTGCTGATACGCGGTTTTGTAGTTTAAATGACGATATATACATATGTAATTATTAATTTCCGAACCTGTCGTTTTCATCTTAATTTTTGTTTTCTTTTTAGAACGCTTAATTAAGTCATATTTCTACATTGTGCGCAAATCCATACAGGATTCTGTACCAAAAGCTATAATGCATTTCCTAGTTAATTATGTTAAAGATAACTTGCAGAGCGAGCTAGTCACACATTTGTACAAGTCGGAAAAGGCCGAAACTTTACTCAACGAATCGGATCATATTGCAGTACGACGAAAAGAGGCGGCCGATATGTTAAAGGTGAGTCCGTTAAATGTGTTATGAATTTTAATAATTTTTAACAACCATTAATTCATTCCAGGCGCTCACCAGGGCAAATCATATAATAAGTGAAATCCGCGAAACGCACATGTGGTAAAGATGTTAAATGCGAATTTTTGTGGTATAAAACGTATTTAAAATACAAGTCTTCGTTGGTGCGCTTCTTCATCTATTATTTGTATTGTTTATAATACATTCATAATACATATATTCGCATATTGATTGTCGAGTTTAATGTTTAATTTTCTTTTCCAGTTTTTACAATGCAAAAAAAAAGAAGAGAAACACCAGTAGAAAAAATTTCATGGTCGTAATAATAAAATATATTTGAACTATTCTTGCAACGTCCAAGTGGTTAAATTTACGAAATTGTACTCTTATGTTAGATCTGTCAATCGATTTTGTAACCAAAAAGACTTGAGAATGGGAATGTTTTTAAAAACTCCACTTAATGCACAGTTGAGAGTAATTGAATAATTGAATATTAAACGATAACCACAACATACATTTTGCATTTAATGTATTTCGGGTATCAAAAATATATTAAATAATTTAGCATCAAAATTTTCCTTTTGATTTAGATGAAATGATCTATAAATTATTGTATGTTACCAGTCGAAGGTTATTTTTTATGCTGTGAATGATTAAATATGTATCAATATTTGTTCGTTGCGTTTCTTGTTGTATAAATAAGTTTTTTGTCTGAAAAAATAGTTTTGTGAAAATTTTTTCATACAATATTTCATTTGGCACCTATAAGCAAATGCATCTAGCGTATTCAGTTTTTAGAGAAAAATAATGCAACTACTTATGCGCTATTATATACTTGTATAACAGTGAATATAAAATTCCGCGTTGAAAAAAATAAAAATTAAAACAGAAACTAATTTGAGTTTTTATTGCCAAAATAGATGAAAAGTAGGCTAGTCGGAACGTGGTTCACCTGAATTACGGCAGTTCTGTAAACAAACAAAAAAAAAAACATATCTGCTGAAGTGACGGTCCTTTGCGGAAGCGTAGACTAGTTTATCGGGGAAACTATAAACTTGCAATTTTTTAAAGCTTTAACAAAAACAAGTTTTTGCACTGACAGAAAAGAAAGTAAAGACCTTTCCACTTCAAGTGATAAGGAAGTAAGAGAAGTGAATTAATTTCATACATACTTTCATAGCTGTACATACGTGAAACGTAAGGTNGTGATTGAATTCTTCCCCTTTTTCTTCTGCTTCCAAAAACCATCCCTGTGGGTGGGTGTGCCAAATTTTAGAAAAAAGCTACTTACAAAACCTTTAATAATTGAATCATGAGGTAAACCACTCAACAAAGCAAAAGTCATTCAACAGCTGCATATTTATGAAGTGAAAAATGAACACTTTAATACTTTAATTTAAAAAAAAAAAAGTAAACATGAATCATTTTTTTTTTTTTTTTTGAATCGAAGTGTAGCGTTACATATTTATGTATATAAAAAAAGAACATGATAAACATATTGACTACGACAGGCTCAGACAGACCGCTTTCCATCTCATGCAATACGTCCTGCACTTTAACAATTGCAACTAAATACGTCAGGAATTGCGACAGTTTTATCGATTACCAACATACTAGTAGGTAGTACATATATATGTATTGAAGTTTTAACTAATTATTCATCTCAGTACTGCTATGGAAGTATTGGGTGTAATAGCTCAAATATTTGTTGTTTGCCCAGATATATGTATGTACTAGTGTATGCTGTTTAACGGTATTGAAACTTATGCTCGATTCGTATCGGAAAGCACCCGCACAATACAGCCTACGCCACCTTTAGCAAATGCTTTTTCATGCCACTGCAACAAATGCCCGCTGGAACCTTCAGATGGTATCTCGAAGCCGCGATAAATGTACTTCATTAGCACATCTAATAAATCGTTCTGCTCGAGTGCTTCCACAGCCTGATCCATTTGTGATGATTTGATAGAGAGCAAGACGCGTAGCGTTATATTCAATGCGTTGTCCTGCATGGTAACGGGTAGGAATATATGATTATATATTTCTTTTATTTATATACATACACACATGCATGTCCATGTGTTAAGATGCATACCTTTACTACCTGATGTTTGCAGCGTAAGGGTGCATTCTGTAAAACATTGACCAAAGCTTCAACTGACTTGCCCTGTGTGAGAAGTGTTGTTATTTCATTCTCATCTGGGCCTACGGTCGCTGATATGGCATCCGCTTCATCCTCCTTAAAGTTGTCCTCATTGTATTGATCCACATCGATTTTGCGGAAAGCTGAACTAGAGGTATTTTTCGCCATATCTTCCTTTGTCAGTCGAAAAAGAATAATCTTAAATAGGTATTGAAAAATTCTGGAATTCCTAGGCACAATCCAAAAAAGTGCAAAAAATGATTCACTCAAAGAACACGGCCAAGGAAAAACGCTTATCAAAATTGTCAAACTTTGACATTTGTTAACCAAAATCAAAAGCCAACAGAGGTGTATTTAGTGTCAAATTTATTTATTGTTTACATTTTGTAATTTGATTCGTGGTCTAATCAAAAACTATACTTTGCAACGAAACAATGAGTTGTGAACCAAATAGTATAGATCTGCTTACTGATATTTTCTATATCTAATTTTTAAAAATTTTAAAGTAATGGAAAGTGAAGAAATATATATCGGTATCGCACAATAGTACCTACACCTGTACGGCGGTACAAGCTAATCGGTCTTGTTATCGATAGTTTTCATTTTCTTTTTAATTAGTTTGTCAGAAAATCAGCTGTTTTTGACTTTGTATCGTTTGCTGAGGTATGAACAGAATTTTCTGAACATTTTTTATTGCAAATTTAAGACAATTGGATTTTCTTAGGTAACGATGGCGAAGTATTTGGGCCTCGACCGACTCGCTAAAATTTTTCAAATTATCCGCCAAGCAGGTGGGATAAAAAAGGCTTATATGAAGCTGTACAGGTCGGTAAATTTTTATTACAACTTTCCTGCTTATATAAGCGCAATCCAAATACTTCTAATAACACATAATAATTCAGATACGATGATCTTAAAATTGGAACACTGGTGGGCACAGACAAGTATGGTAATAGGTATTATGAAAATCCTTATTACTTTTATGGCCGCAACCGCTGGGTGGAATATGCGGATCATTTAAATTTGGATTATGATGGCTCACAAATACCTGCCGATTGGTATGGTTGGATGCATTACAAGGTATACAGATTAAGTGTTTAAATGTAATATATTAGGTACTATTCAATGACATAATTAAATTTTAGACCGATTTACCGCCAATTCGTGATGGTAGCCGCCCCAAGTACAAGTGGATGGCTGATCACAGTGAAAACCTGTCTGGCACCAAAGGTAAGTACAATGAAAATTAAAAATATGTTGGCCACTGTGTCCCTATGGCCTAACCACAAGGCAGAGTAAAAACAATTATAAAAAATATAAAATTCACCAAACAAGAAGAGCTAATTACGACAGTCGGGTCTACGTAACCGGAACGACCCAGATTTATATCTGGCCAAGGACTGTCACTCCAGCAACACTCCCCAAAAAGTCTTTGGGGAATTTGTATGCTGCTACAACAACAACAAGCTAATTAATTGTTAAATAATAAGTATCGCTGAATCCATCGTAGTTCGACTTTTGTGCAGTCTACGAAAATGCGATAACTGAATCCGCATTGCTGGGAATATATGCATTCAAAGCTACGTTCAAATTTATTCGGACTCAGTGACAGAATTTTCATAGATTGCACGAAATAACGGACTAGATTCAGTGATGGCCCTGAGTATGCATCTACATATATGCAATCTTTGGATGCTACATCTAATGCAATATCTTATTTCCCAACTTTGCACTTTTAAACCAGTACACTTAATATCATGGTCGGTATATGACAAAAGCCTTTTGGTTAATAGTGATTTATTTAAATTAAATAAGCCTTTTTTATACATACATATATATGTATGTACAACTCAAAATTTGGCATTTTTGAAATTATGTACTAAAAATGTACACAGACCTTTTATTTACCTTTCAGCATAAGCTTGAGTATATTTTTGTTACAATTTGTTAAAAAAAAAAACTAAGGTAAAGCCTTTCTTGCCCATGTGATTAGCATCTATTAAGAAATAGTTTTTCGCATTAACTGACGAACGTATTATTTTGAGCTGCGTCGGTTCGGCTCATAGTACAATACTAAAACTTGAATGTTAGCAATAACTTAAATACTATTGACGCTTATTAATAACTCTATTTACTTTCATTATACTTATCCAACCTTTATTGGTTTTGTTTTTCTTATTGTAGAGCAATATATGCCATACTCAACAACGCCGCCCAAAATCGAGGCTTGGGATCCAAAAAAATTGAAATAAGTAACCTTTTGAATAAAACTGTACAATAAATAAATGATCGTTAAATAAATAGTAAATAACTAAATGCTATTGTAGCTATTTTCCGATGTAAAACTATAGAAATTAACTTAAAAAGGCGTTTTAGGAGCAGGTAAGAATTTTTTTGTTTTATTTATAGTTTTTATTGCTACTACAATTGTTTACTATCTGTATTAGATTCGATGAGACCTCTGCATGAAAAGTAAGTTTAAGATCCAACTCTATTGAAAACAAAAACAAAAAAATAATTATTAATTGAAGGACATATACAACTATGAAGGCTGTGTTATAATTATTACAATTTTAAAGTTATGCACTATAAATTAAAGTATGAATATGTTTATGTTGGCAAGTACTTATCATGTAAGTAAAACCATATTTTCGTCAACTTAGGACATATGTACATAATTTAAAACTCAATACCATGGCTTAATCTATATTTCATGAATTTAACATGGGTATCATGACACTTCTTGGCGATGGCTTTGTGTATTTCTTCAGACGTGGCTTTAGTATTAGCTTTTATGCAGTATTCAATATCAGAAACCTTATAAGGATCCAATATTGTATCTGAAAAATTTGTCATCAATATTGTATTGCGATCAAATACCAGTGCACATAGCATGCGCGCCGCGCCTTGTGGTGTATTCCAGCGAATTTTAGAGTACCTCGTTTCCGGAACCTCAGTACCATGAGGACCGAGCACCACTATTGGTGGGTCATGATCGACCCGCATTGGATACTCCACAAATCGGGTCGATGTGGTTTTGGCATAACACGCACGTTTGACTGACAACATAAAGTCTTTTGGACTCTTTATGAGTTCATCGCCGAGTTTTGTCACAACCGTGGATAGCTCTTCATAAAGTTTTATGCTTTGTTTATGCTTTTGCATCATTTGTTTTATTGTGTCTGGCTCATACTCTGTAACGCATTCACAATTGCTACAAAAATATTGCTTTATCTGGTCGGTCACTTTACCGCACATCTCCTTAAGTGTCGCTTCATTAAATGTATCTTGATTTGTTTTCGGCTTACCAGCTTTTTCATTAGTTATTTCCATAGATTTTGTTATTGAATTATTTTTGTCATAAACAGGTGCTACGTCAGCGTTTAGGACGTTGAATAGGACTTCGCAAACAAAATCAAACTTTTCACCTTTGGACGCGATAAAACGTTTCCCAATTAATTTATTCAATCTTATTAACTCCTTTATTGGTTCTTTCAGTCCTTTTGTTGGCAAAGCGCAGTGCGAACTCTTCGATGTACTGGCCATTATGGCAAGTTTAAATCATATACATATACTACACACGCATATAAATAGATGCACATGTATGTAAATATTTATTAATTTGTTTAAATGGGAAAGAAAATAGAAGAATTCCCAACTTTCAGATTTATTTGCACATCTCAAAATAGCATCACGACCATATTTCATTTATGTTTGTACCAAAAGTTATATCTTTATACATCTAAACTAAGAAAAATAAACTAGCCAATTATTGCTGTTATAACTGTATTAAAATACATAACAAGTTTTCTAACGTGCATCATTGTACACTACATGCTTCATTGCCAAATCGATTAACTCCATTAACAAAAAATTTGGAGATGCGATCAAATAGTATAAAATATTTTTTTAAAATTCCCTTTATAGTATTAATTCGAAACATAATGTTATTATAAAATTATGTATTAAATAAAGTTATCATAAATACAATGAGTTATTAGTTTACCAAGTGATATTACACTTAAATTGAAGATTTTTCAAAAACTTGAGTTAATTGATTTGGCAACTGGGGCGTTCATACTATGTTATTGAAAACCCTTTTTTTAAATATTCGACTTATTGGCTCTCGAATGAAAAAATCCTAACTTGTTTTTAAAAATGTTTAGCATTCCACTAAACTAAAGTTTCCAAATTTGTCCTTATTGAACACAATTGAAAGTTTTTCGATTCAACATAACCAAATTGGAATTAGAAATTTGTACAAGCCAAGTTTTTTCTGAGCAACATTTTAAGAATTTAAAGCTTCTACACCTTTTCCAACAGTATTTCAGAAAAACACAAATGTATTTCAGAAAAGGCCAAAAAAATTTTAGAAAAGGCCGAATGAATTTCTGAAAAACTCAAATGTATTTCAGAAAACCTCAAATGTATGTCAGAAAAGGGCAAATGTATTTCAGAAAAGCTCAAATGTATTTCAGAAGAGGCCAAATGTATTTCAGAAAAGGGCAAATGTATTTCAGAAAAGCACAAATGTATTTCAGAAAAATATTTAAAGAAAATGGCCGACGTTTTTCTTAAAGCCGAACCTTTTTACTAATCTGTTTTTAATAAATTATGGTGGGGTAACTTCTTAAAATCCGCTGACTTAGCTGCCAACTTCGGAATTTGAAATGGTAATTAAGAAAAAATCGATTTACTTAATTTTAAAGTAAATCAACGGCTTCGGTAATCGGCCGATGTTAGAACAAACCCAAACGTTCGGTTCGGTTTCGGCCGAAAAATATACCTAATAAAAGATATGCCGAACGAAATTCCGACGCTAAATTTCAATTGGCCAAAAATCTCTAAACCTGCGGTTCCCAAACTTCTTTTCTCACGTACTGACTATGAAAAAAGTTGAAAAACGAAAAATTAAAAAATTTAATACGAAAACATGTGTAAGAATAGTGGTGTCATGTAACGATTTTTACTGGTTTTGACACTGACAGCTATTTCTCGCCCAAGGCGCAATAAACAGATGAAGTAATAAAACAGCTTTCTTTCTTTATTTTCTGACATTCTCTGCCTTATAGTCAAATTTTAAAGGCAAATTTACAAATAAGGCAGTGCCAATATCTTTCTTCTCACTCTAATTACTTCACCTGGTATAATTCCACCATGTTTCCCGCCCAAACAAAAATTACACCAAATTCACCTCTGAGTAGAATGGGTCTCATTAACTTGGTCAACCACAAAGATATAATTTTTAAACATTGCTACTTACTATAACTTCCGTTTCGGATCTTCTGAATTTGTAATTGGCCACCAAAATGGACTTTGGAATGAAAAAATAGTAAGAGTGTGTACATTAGAGTGGTCCAAAAAAAATTTCTTTACCTCATGCGTACACACGTTGTCAAAATCGAAAATGAAGAAAATTGCAGTAAAAAACCACCTGCAAATTGTAAACCACGAACAAATGTAAACAAACGGCTAATGTGATCATCGTCCTACATTTTTCCTAGCTGCGATTACAAATGGCGACTCTTTTTCTTGCGGGATGTTGTATATTTGGTTCATGTATAAAATTAATGCTGACAAGCCCAATAAGTATCATCCAGATCGTTCCTACTATTGGCGTTGAGCCTCGGGACGAATGAGAGTCCAATAGGAGTATTCTCGAAAAATTTGAAACCTTTTGGGTAACTTTGAAATCTTTGGAGAGCCCGAACAGTTTGGTAGCACACCTTAATGTAAATAGGTACATACATGTATGTAGTATATACGGTGGTGACAATGTAAATAAGGAAGAAACAATTTTAGCAAATTTTGGCTATGATTTCTTTGTTTAAAAAGTGTTTATTTTTTTATGAAAATATAGCTTACTATCTTAACAAAACAATGTAAACTTTGTAAGGCATTTATAAAAATTTCCCGAACTTTAACAAATGTGCGTCAAAACTTAGCTTAAACTTTTTAATCAGAATTTTTCTTTTTCAATTTTTTGAGTATGCAGTACTGTAACCCATTACATTTTAGTACAATAAAGCACAAGTTTGAAGTAGCTAAGACTTACCGTTGATTTTTGGCAATTTTTTGTATACGACAATTTTTTTGTATGGAGAAAATGAGCAACACCTTCTACAAAAAATCAAAGGTAAGTTCTTACTATTTAAAATCTGCACCTCGTTATAATAAAACTGCTAAGAAATCTAATTAAAAAAGCTCACCTTTTTGAATTTTGCTCACTTTTATACAATTTTTACTTAAAGGTTTGTGTTAGATAAAGAGCTACACTTTCATACAAAGTAATGAACATTAAATAAATGAAAGTGAAATAGCCAACGAATGCTTAAATATCTCTTCGTATTTATATTTTCGCAACTGTACATATCATGTATGCATGTACATACATATAACTACATATACAGCATATGTTGCAAATAGGGTAAAAATATTGCGCCAACTGGAATCGACGTGTAGAGAAAAAAGTTGATAGGGGATGTTTTTTGTTATTAGATACAGTCTAATAATGAGACCATTAAAAGCCATTGGTATTTACATTTTATCAAGCATTTATTTATAATTATACAATATAAGTATTGAAAATAATTTTACTACCATTTAAAGAAATGATTTGATGCATATATCGGCACAAATGTTATCGGGATAATCTGGCATCATTGCAATCCTCTATGAACTCAACCGTTTTTTTGTTTTTCCATTTCTCTTTTGCAGCCAACAACTTTCAGCAAGCAAGATCTTTTCGTACATACGTGTATATATATTTACACGTGTGCGCGCGCGCAAATCGCTTTCAAAATAAAATCTGTGTTATTTCTTTGCTTTGAGTAGATAAAACTATTCCGTATTTCAAAGAAGCCTTGTATAGTGTTACATATCTAGCAACCGGCAGCAAAAAAAAAACTTACATTGCCGCTGGTTAGATCGAAGTGGATTGGTACGATATGCCATTTTTCCATCTACCTGAATTTGTGTTGAGAAGGGACAATTCATTCGAAGCAGAATAGAAAAGTAATTTCCTTCCTGGTACTAATACATACATATATTATCACTAGGCCAAAATCCTTAGGCATTGGACCTAGAATGTTATGTTGTAGTGGAGTGAATGCAGCTCTTAATATGCAGGTAGGATATGGTATGTCTAAAGCTGCGTACATTTGTATGAGTTCGGAATGAGAGGCACTAATGCAGTCACATTGAATATACATATATGTATGTACATCCATAATCCATTATACCCAAGGCAGAATTCTACCTACCCTTATTTCAGGATACAAGATGAATTCTTAAAATACCAACCAACCCTCTGTACAAGGACCATTTGAGTCAGTACGGTCTATTAAGTCCTGCAGAGCGCATTTAACGCAGAATCTTCTAAAGTGTAAACTTTTATGTTATTAAAGTTCCTCTAAAAATGGATAATAAAGTAAGTTTATTAAAATATATTCTTAACCAATGTATTTAGGTATATTTAGCTTTATCTTTACTTCAATATGTATAAGGATATGTAAAAAATAGCAGGTGCTTCCAATAGAAAAGCTATGTTAAGGATAGGAATAGAGCAACATTTAATTGACTATGTACATATATTCAATACCTTATTATCCTGTTCCCCTTCAACAGCACAACCGACCTGATGATCGGCGGGTAATATGTGCAACAAACTACAATCAAGCTCAACAGAAAATTATTCGTGCGTCCGTAGTAAATTTTTCACGTGCAGTTGAGGCGGGCGAAATGCAATATTACAACGAACGCCCAATGATGCTTGACACATGGACGCAAACCTCAAACGCCGATCTTGGTATTGGCGAGGACTACCTGCATAATGCATACATAGAAGAGCAAAGACAAAGAGAGAAAGCATTGTTGGAAAAGATACGCATCCTTAAGGCAGAACTGCGGGCGCATTCAGAGATGTTAACACAAATGCAATCCCTACATGCACGCGGTAGTTTACAACTACAAAACCAACACAATCGACAACAACAACAGCAATCGTTAGTGGCTAACTCGCTAGATATGCAACTGCAGGACCTTAACAACCGTGAACAAAGACAAAAACATGAAGAAAGTACATCGCCAAAAATGCAGTTATATCACAGACCTTCTAGCTCAAGAAGTACACAGCAATGCGAGGAAGTTACGTCCATGTCGAACGTACTTCATGAGCGTCCAGAACAAAAGCAATTAGCACAAAATACACACTCACAGTATATAGCACAAGAAGTGAATGAAGGTGCGGAGTCGACGAGGCAACAAAACGCATCTATTTCACATAACGCACCAAGTACTATCATTAATAATGCACATGAGGTACGAACTCGCAATGTAAATTACACAATAGTCGCTGATGGCGATGGCAATGGTCCTGATGAGCCCATAGAGATTGAAATTGCGGAAGAAAGTGCACACAACTTAAATTGTTCTGCGGATTCCGAACGCTTAGAGATATGTTTAGCAGAAGAACAGCAACCCGAAGCAAGGGCTAGTTATGTTAAGTACGAGGTGGGTACTGAGCAAATTCAACACAAAAATCATATTTCTTCTTCAGTAAGTCCAGTCGGTGCAAAACGACTTAAAATGTCTACAGAAAGTCTCACACAAATATATGAAGTGCGGGAATTTTCACAAGAGGCTCCACAGTGTTGTGAACATCAAACCTGCGATATGGCCCATCCGCAGCCTCTTCTATCATTTCCAACAAATCGTAATAACGCAAGCTTACTAAAATTACCCATCGACCCACAACAGAGAGATGATGACCAAAGTACTGCGTCCAAGAATAAATCGGAACCGAAAGTTGCTTACTGTTCGATAGGACCGAACAACACTCGTATACCTACGAAGATTTTTGATGCCATCAGCTGGACTTCTGCATCAATAGCAACACGAAAACTAATGATGGCCATCTTTAATCGCGAAACCTTAGCCACACATTCTATGACCGGGAAGCCGTCGCCTGCTTTTAAAGATCATAATAAACCACTTAAGAAAATGCTTAATCCATTAGCCATACAAGACATTATATTTGCTGTTACACGTAGGTGTCAAGTTTCGGAGAAGGAGGTGCGTAACGCCATCACCACCAAGTGCGCCGATGAAAACAAAATGTGGAAATTGGCTCTGGCCAAAACCCAATCATTATGTGAACATGATAAAGAAAATGTCGGCTAAGATATAAAAAAAATATTGAGAAGTCAAATCAGTAGAAGGGCGCCCATGAATTTGGTTGCTTCAATGCAATCCACTGTTATACTCTAAGGGCCACTTTTTCAATGTCAGTTTAAACTTAGATTAAGTAAACTGAGTTTAAATTGAACAGCTGTCTGGACATTTGATTGGCTGATCTTAGTTTAAACCAGTCAGATCGGGCGTTTGAACTGAGTTTAAACTACGGCCGTGCACTGAAAAACTGGCCCTAAGACGTGACACCAATAAAAAATGATCACATTGCGAATTTAAATTACATTGGTTTATCAAAACGCAACGTTGGAAACGTTTATTATCTAAAGGATACAAACATACCTGACAACCAGGCCTGTGTTTCAGTAAAGTTATCACATACATTACATAAAATAAGTTTAAAACCCCTATATATTAGAATTAATCTTAATTTTACAAATTAAACATATGTACATAACATTCACATAAAAAAGTGCGCTCTGATATGTACATATATATGTATGTTGAGCTTGTACGTAAAATATTATAGCATAATGGAAGAGTATACCAAAAATGGGTTAAATTAAACTATAAAATATTTCAAGTACATGTATGTAACTAATTGCAATTATAATCAAATGGAGTTTGTTTACCATGAATAATTATACAATCACATATACCTGAGCTACATGTATTGTTACATATCTAAATGTAAGTTATTTAAGCATTTAATGAATTTAACAAATGTGAAATAACTGCGTTTTCAATAATAATGTGCATATATTTATTTATTTTAATAAAAAATCAGTAGTTTTATAATGTGTCGTATTTGAGCACGAAAATGAAAACCAACATGGGCGCTGAATTCTTGTTCTGTGAAGTGAAAACGCGTTTCAACTATTCGAATAAAATTACGATTTGGTTTTAATAAATGTAAATCAAATTATTTGTCAAAAAGTTTTCAATCGGAAGTTTTTTTTTTTTTATCGCCCATATTATACATTTCGACACGAATAGAGATTTTCTCAGTTTGGTAACTTTGGCATTTTTCAATCCGATTGGTTTCGATCAGTCTTCGAAATATACGATTCTGCATTGACTGAAATAATTGGCAACCAAAAGCGATATTGAGCAGGGATTTCAAATGCGACCCAAGGAGGAAGCGTAGGCGTTTTGGGAGTAGGTTGCAAATTCTCTAAATGCACTTGGTTCACCATCAAAAGACTCCAGTACATGGAGAAAGGAAAGGTATTATTAATTAATGAAATGTAAAATACTTCGAAAGATTTATTGCAGGTGTGGATTGGCGGGAAGTGCTGTATTAAACGCAAGCTATCTGTCAACAAAATGAAAATGTTGAGAACCGGTTGAGGACACTGTCGTTTGCAGCGCATAAGCCCACTCAAGGAGAAGTTGTCGAATTGACGGATTATGCGCATAGTGTGTAGGATCATGACGGCGCACAAACTTCCGAAATGGCCATTTCTGCTTGGTCGGTGGATCCAAATGGTATGACTTCAACCTATAGAGCAAAAGCAAGCAGCCAGCAAAGAGAAAGAAAGACAGAAAAGTAGAGCAATTCTTATAGAAGTTGCCATGAATAGTATGGAAGACGACATATTTGCGGCGCATGAACCCACTACACATCTACTACCTACTACCTTTGTACGTGTATACAAACCCAACAAGCAAAGGTTTATAAAACACTTAAAAAAAGCGTAATATGTATAAACGTATGAATAATTTTTCAATAATATACATCGTCACCTGAAATTCAAAAAGACGTAACATCGTAAATTAAATGGAATGACGTGACTAATATTTTAATTTTTTCTTTTCATAAAATGATGTGGGGAGTTGTAATTCGATGAAATCCATCATATAAATCAAGAAGTGAATTTTGAAATTTTTATTAGTTTTGGCCTTTTGCATTTCAAAGATGATGTTTGTTACGTCCTTTTGCATTCCAGGTGGAGATATATTAATTTTAATAATTCATAACTAAAAAAACTAATAAAACTAACGTATTTTGTCGTGGTTTTGTCGTAAACACGTACATTCTACTACTAAAATAAAATAATTAATATACATATATAAAATGAATGCAATAAATGATATTAGAGCTAAAGTTAAGTGATTTATAGATATTCGCTCTCAAAACCAAGATTTTTTCATATTAACCTTTTTTATCATTTGAAAAAATTAAAATAAACTTAATTTTAAAGACGCATATTTAACACTTAATATTGCAAGCTTACTTTAAGCTACTTTCAAAAACACTGCTTGTTGGGCAGTTTTAAATATTCTAGTTTAACAAATGTGTATCACAGATTTTGAAATTTTCCCAAACAATTTTTTAGGTCGGTGTTATGCAGAAATTTTGTTTGGCAAACTGCGTGCAATTGTTGTTGCAGCAAACTCGGAGAGAGCGAGTTCGGCGACTCTCACAGCACGCTCCCACGACAGTCGGGTCTACGTAACCGGAACGACCCAGATTTATATCTGGCCAAGGACTGTCACTCCAGCAACACTCCCCAAAAACTCTTTGGGGAATTTGTATGCTGCTACAACAACAACAACAGCGACTCTCACAGCAAACTAATTTTGTTTGGTCAAACTGCAGCAAATTCGGTGTTGTCATATACAAAAATTTTAAATTTTGCGCGTTATGTACATCTGAAATTCTCATTTCGTGTTGGCAATAGCCATGAAAACCATAAGGAACGTGCAACCCTGTGCCAAACTCGACATAACCACCTCCGAGCAAACTTAGCAGCCGCCATTTAATTTGGCAAACAAAAGTTTGTCTGCATAACACCGACCTTACAAGATCAAAATTAACCGTTTGTGCCAAATTTGGCGACGGGCCGCTTGGGAAAACACGTAATAATTTCCCACAACAAACACCATCAGCTGGATAATTTCCCAAAACATTACACAATCGCAACTGTCGAGAATCAAAAAGCGAATAGAGCTGCAAATGATAAACCCGGAGAACGGAACGGTAGGCAGAAGAGATTGAAAAAGATAAAGAGTGGCAGCAGAGAGAAACTTTCGAGCAAATTCTTTTCCTTGCAGTGGCTACGGAAAATTTATAAAATATTGCAATTCAAGGCAAAAACAAAACAGGAAATTAATATTTTCCAACAGAGAAGGTGTTTGGTCGCCATTGTGGGTAGTGAATTAGTTCATTGAGAGGATTGATAAGAATCGTAATTTGGACTTGGAATCCAATTGTTCAGGTGAAGGGTTATTCTGATTTGATTTCATTGTGTTGTCGCAGCGGTGCTTGTAAAGCGTAAAAAATGGATATCTTGCGTAAAATGTTCAAAATGAATGAGGATGCCGAAAAACCTGACGGAGCTGGGCGTAAAGATGAGTAAGTAGTGCTACTATCAAAAACAGATTGGTTTTAATATTGCAATTCGAGTAGATAGATATTCATTAGGCTTGTGTATTTGTTTCTCGTGAAAAAAGCAAAATAAAAATCGATCGATATATTGCAAATTATGTATATATTTGGGTAGATACTTTAGTCAGGACACTAATCGGAGGCTGCGCATACTGAAATTTATCCTTCGAGTGTTACCAGCATATTTGTTTATTCGTTTCAACACCAATACTGATTGGACTCGGACTTCATTCACACGAATATGGGTTTGCTTGTCCGGCAAAACTCGGCATTCAAGTCTTGCTGAGCACTCTGTTGCGTTGCTCAAGACTTTATTAGGAAGAGCTTTAAATTGCCAATAAAATACGTATTAAGTTAAAACATACTGAAGATATAAATTATTAAATCCAAACATATGTATGTACGCAATCTCAGAAAATATAAATGATCATTTTTATTTCTTAAACATTTAACCATTTAAACTTATTTTAATATTTTTGTTGACTATATTCAAATTGCTTATGATTTCGCGCAGTCTCTGATTAGGATAATACTTGAAAGTCCCATATAAAACGGGGTAGCCAGACTAAAATACGCACATTTTTAAATAAGTACATAATTTTGCTTCAGCCCCATACGAAAACCGGTTTTTACCGTGCAATCTGTGCACCGTACAAGGGCTTTGTAAGACTCAGAGAATGCCCCTATTATTAAATAATGAAAAATCTTATATCGACATACATATGTATGAGGCCATGAGGGCCAGAGGAGCCTATCTACAAAAAATAAATATTTTATTGATATGGGAAATAGGGATCTAACTTAACGAACACGCGGATGCGTGCTCGAAAAAATTAAAGTTGGGGGCCGCCCCGCGGCCCCAGGTTTCCCTAAGGATAGAAATAAAAAGCAAGATTAGCAGTACAAGTGTATATTTACCATTCGGCTCTCCAAATAAGAATGAATACAAAATATTACTTAAAGCTATCGCTAAGTATCTAAACGGCCCGAATTAATTGATTAGTTGCTGACGCTGCGCTTCCCACGATTTGCATTTTGGTTGCATAAAACCAATTGGTATCGCTTACGTTGCAGGTCAATTACCTGCACTGGCTATGCGCGTGTTTGGCGAAGTGCGGCGTCAGCACATTCGCATTAGTAAGTAGGTTGGCCCCCTTGTTAACTTCTATAAAAAATAAATGCAGTAAAAGGTTCATTGCACCTTCGTGATGCTACTTATTATAGTAAAAGATAACTAAAAGGGCGTGCCTCGGGCTATTGCCATTTCGATTCTAGTAATGCACCTCAACATTTTTTGAAATGTCTGGCTACTCTGGCCCCCAAGTCCTCAAATGTATGTATGTGTATCGAAATTTGTTTTCTGTTTATTTAGAGGAACTGCAAAGGACGAATTTCGTAAACCGCAGTGGTTTGAAGAAGCTGAAACAGATGACGAACTCTTTGATGACAATCGCAAATTCGCTTTTCAAACCTTTACAAATCCTTTGGAGTTACAAAAGCACTTCGAGCGTCAAATGCAACAAATCTTGGAAGCAGTGAGTGAATTCGAAGGTATTTACTGAATATCAATTTTGAGTACATAAATCCAATGAAATTCATTATTATTCATTCATTTTCAAAAAAAAAAACGATAAATTAGATGGCGATATTAAGATTGATAAAGACTTGAAGGAAGATTTTTTGAAACCTGGTTTTGAAAACATAGACATTTTGAAGGAATTTGAAAAGACGAAAGGCGAAATCATGGACACTGACTTGGATGGGGAGTAAGTAAATTTTCATAAGTAAAAAGAATTAGTGCTTCAATCGCTCAACATACAAATTCATCTTTCAGAATTTATGCCGATCAATTGCATTCGTTAATGCAACGCTTGTCCCCTAATGAGGATTTGCCGAATATCTTACCACGCAACGACAGCAAGGCTGTTCGCAACCCCTTAGGCAAAAAGAAATTAAGTGATGAAGAGAAAATTTTGGGTAAAATACATGGCACTCTGGATAGTGAGGATGCTCCGAAGCAATCACGTATGCCACGTCCACGTCCGGACATGATGACACCAATGACTCCCATGATACCACGTAATCCTACGCCATTTGGCGGTGGGGTCTTCGAGGGCACGTATCAGGTATGCACAATAGTTTTGAATTTGTATCTAATGAGTGCTTCGAATGTTGTACATTTGTGATGTTTGGATGAGGAAAGGATATGTAGCAATTATGTTTAATTTTCACTTAAGTTTTTCATGTCTTGATGACATCATCACCGGTCTCAAAAATCAATATAACGATATATATTTTTTTTTTATCCTCGTTGGATGTGAATGAATAGTGGACATACATACTTGGTATACCCCGAGTATGTTTTCTGAATTTAATTTATGTGTTTGGCTAATATTACTAAAGCTGATTATTGAACTCTGTAAGTGCATAAGAAATATGCAAGGTGGCAATCAAAATTATCGCACAGAAATTGATCGTTTTATATTATTTATATCAGGGACAAAACAGTTATAAACGTTGTTCCATAATAGCTATAATACCAGAAATATTTTTTATATTGCCGATAAGAGTTATAACCCATTTTTTTTTTTACGTTGCTCGATAACTGTTATGCAGCGGAAATGTGTTTTCCGTCGCCTATAAGAATTATTTCTCAACGTTTATTTTTTACGTTGCTGGATACTAGTTATTTTCCAACGTTTATTTTTTACGTTGTTTGATAACAGTTATTACCTAACGGTTATTTTTAAGTTGTCTGATAACAGTTATTTTACTCCTTTTTATTTTCATCATCTTTATTTCCCTCGTCTTCGTTTTCGTCAATATTCCTATTTTACAACGTAAAAAATAAACGTTGGATAATAACTGTTCTCAAGCAACATAAAAAATGAACGTGAAAAATAAACGTTGAGCAATAACTGTTATTAAACAACGTAAAAATAAACTTTGGGTCATAACTCTTATCGGCGAAATAAAAAATACTTTTCATCTAATAACTGCTATGAACGTTGGTTTTCGTTAAATTTCAGAATTCAGGCAACATTTTCAATTTTTAAATTCGAGGTAACAGTTATTTTTCGTCTCGGGTTTTTATTACTAAGAATTGGGGCTATCACTGAATCATCGTAGTCCGCGTTTCGTGCAAAACTACGAAAATGCGATCGCCGAATTCGATTCGAAAAAACTCGAACTTCTTAGCTAAAAATGAGCAACAATCGTTGAAAGGGATTCCTCGTTAATTTAATTGTTTTTGGAAGCGAGTTCTGAAACGAACGAAAGCTATGAGTTACAACCAAACTCGCCGAGGTTCATCGCTGCTAGGAACGTCCAAAGACGAACAACTGTTAACCAGGTTTTTTGGTAAATAAAAGAGTCCTTTATAGTAGAAATAAGTTTTTTATTATTAACTTTGTGCATATCTTTCTTTAACGTTATTAATTGGTACTTAAATTTTAACCTTTATTTGCGTTTGCCAGTGGTAAACATGTGGAGAGAAAAGCGCAAGCGGCACACAAGTCATTGTCAGTTAATTTATTCCATACTCTGTAACCATAGGCTAATTTCCTTTATTGAGAGACTCAGTAATCGAATAGACTCGGAACTGGTGATTAGGACGGTCATTCATTCGACCAAGCCTATACAGTTTTTTTGTCACATACTATCAGGATTATGAAACGATTAAGAAATGAACGAAGCGAAATTTCACTAACAAAGCACGACCCAGGTTTATTCATTCTTATTTTTAATAATTTTTTTTTTTCATTTCATTGCTTGTATTATGAAGATAGTTGAATGAGGATGCTAGTGTGTGTTCATGGATGTGTTTCATAAAATAACCATATGTGCATATATTTGTATGTAATTATGCATATAAAAAATTGTATTCATGTTGCTGTAGGGGCCGAAAATGTTCAGCCAGAGCGTCATGTCGAAAACTATACGTAAACCGGATGGTAGCTATGAGACTACGAAAATCATCAAGGATTCTCAAGGCAATACAACAAAAACTATTACACGTACCATTGATGGCAAAACTGAGACAATTACCACGTCCGACAACGCAGCTGGGGCCGGTACCATTAAGCAAAAGGAGGGCAACATCGCCAAAAGAGAAGAATATTCGAATCGCAATATTTTCGTAACAAAAGAAGGTTACGCCGTACCACGGAACCTCTGGTGACCAGTGGTGCTTATTGGCCGAATCCTTGTTGGCAACTTATTACACGTCTATATTCAAATTCAGATATACTATGTACTAGTAACTAGATCGTTAAGTGTTTGGTGTTTTAGATGAAATTCATTTGAGACTACAGATGGCAGATAGCATTGCAAGAGCAGCAGCGGCAGCAGCAAAAACAATGAGAACAACAACACAGATGACCGCAGCATCCACAACAACAATCGAAGCAGATACAGAAACAGTATGGTAAACGTACACAGATGAATTGATGATCTACAATTAACCATCATTTGATCTCAATCCCATTTGTAAATGATTTACAGAGGATGTGCACATTTGGATACAATCATACACGTCCATCATTTCAAGTGTACAATTCTATACTGGTTCTGTACTGTTTTCATGGAATTTATTTCGTATATCTTGATGTTTTAATTTGATTACGAGCATTTTCATGGAGCGCAATCAGAACTGTGTGATTTATTTGGGGAAACCAAAACAAACCTATTATTGTGTGAAGGACGGCATAAGCGCGAAGAGCATGGTAATAGAGAATTGTTTATTTGTTGAAACGGTTTACGTTTAACATATGTAGACACACCTACAATATCGTCGCCGGGCCGATTAACCGTCATGTGGAAGGAGATCCAGGGGTTTGTGTTAGAATTTCAAAATTTTTATGAACGTACAAAATGGGAAAGTAGCAAAAGCGGCGCTAATATGCATATGTACATATGTATATACATACATACATATGTGCAATGACGGTGGGACGATAAGACGACAGTTGAAGGAGATGAATATTACGCAAAAGTATTTTTTCTTTGATTCTTTAGTTAGCACGAATTAATTCGTGATATGGATTAATCTATGTGTGGCTGCTTTCAATTAAAGGATTTTGAATGATGCCATGATATCCCAGGGGATGTCGAATCAAATGCGACTGGCATTTGTGATGCAACCAATATGGGATACTGCAGTACTGAGTTTCAATGAAATCCATCTAAAGTGCAAGAACAAAGAAAATTTTTGAAAACTACATATATACATGCATACATACATAAATACAATATTATTATACAATATCATAAATCGAAGTAAATATTATTTTTTTTTGATTAGCGCATTGACGCCTTTAACATTTAGTTATAAACTATTTTGTGTTTTTGTTTTATAATCAACTAACATCTTGGCAACCCTAAAGACTTTGATATTATTTGATCCTATATTTAAATATTAATACATACCTATGTATGTGTAATTTGAAAGCTATGGACAAAATTCTTTAACCAATACGTTTTATGAATTTTCTGCCCGTGCACATTCAATTGATTAAAATTGCTTTTGTGCTGAGAGCTATAAAGTTTTAGACTTCTAAATTGATGATACCAATAAATTAGCTTAGTTAAGGATTTTTCTTTGTTTTTTAATTAAATGTCATATGAATTTAATTTGAATTATTCGGCTAAACTTTTATTGTTTTATATAATTAGAGCTACAAATATAATTTCATATACAAATACATACATATGTGCATATATGTGTGCAATATAAATATAAGTACGCACTCTCATATATTAAACTTGTGCGTTTAAACTTGTGCGTTTGATTTCGTTATGTTGTGCTCAGACATGTCTAATCGTGTTAAGTAGGGCTGGGAATATCCGTGTTACGGATAAAATCCAGACAACCGTTAACCGGATATCCGATTAATAAACATTTATCTTTTATCCACATATCCAGTTAATATCCGGATGTTCAGATCTTTTAATCAGATATTCGAATATCCGGATATTCAAAAAAACTGAGATAGAATTCCCAACCTTGGTCTTAAGTCAACTTGAAAACATATTTTCATATAATTTTGGCAGTAAAATACTAAATGTGTTTTTGTGTATCGTAATGTCCTTGAAAATTCTGAAAAAAGCGTCTGCAAAATATATGTAGTGGTATTTACTTTTTCTTCTTCTCGAATGATTTCAAACAGTAATGACAATAGTGTCTTCCAGGCTTATCCTTTAAAATTAGCAATATTGTTATTTATAAAAATTAACAACTACCTAAACGGCACTTACCAAACAAATGTAACTAATTGGGTGTCCTAAGGGACCGTCGCCATCACAAACCGCTATACGTTCAGCTGTTATTATCGGTTCAATTTGGTGCGCATATTTCATGCCCCAGTTCTTATTTACCCAACGTTTAGCGTTTTCAAACCGTGCATTACGATAATCATCCTCGGCCCATACCTGTATGGAAATAAATACCAATAAATATATCGTCGTTTAAAGTACAAAACCGCGTATCGTCATTCTGCAAAATCGCGTAGCTGGCATTAGCTGGCGAAAATTGGATTTGCTCACACAAGCTCGTGGCTCAATCCTTATCCATTCGTCCTGGAATATAGTAGCCAGAAATGCGATTGCTTTCTAAAAAAGTGTTTTTACTCTCTAGAAAAAAATTTATTATTATTATATTATTATTATTCAACCTCACATAAGCGTTTTTGCATTATCTTGATACGCGGTTTTGCATTTTGTTTATACGCGGTTTTGTACTTTAAACGATGATATGTACTTATGTTTAAATTCGTTCAGGCAGGCTCTGCAATTCACTTCCGACGAATTTGACCCAAAGCCACTTTGAATTCAAATTAAATGGGGTTGAAATTCACGCGAAAGTGAATCTGCCTGATAACATATCAGACTATTTATTACCTGTCCTGTATGTGTCACTTCGGTTAAATCACTGCGAAAACGTAACAGTTGAATTTTATTAATTCGCTCAAATTTAAAGATATTTTTCGAAAACTTTGACGGAAACATTACTATTTTTGTAAAAAAAAAAATATTTGTTAAAAAACATAAACTCAAGGCGTATTCAATAAAATAATAATAATAATAAATACGCCTTGCATAAACTCGTCACAAAGGGTGTTTCTCATAGACTGCTTTGATATAAACTTAGACAAGTGCGTATGAATTCCTTCTTTGTAACAGGTGGATTTACCTGGCAGATAATTTTAAAACCTACATGAGAAAACGATCCTTAATGATTTATTTTCTAGATTACGCTAATGGTAAGTGATTTGGTGTACGTACTTACACTCCGTAAGACCCAGGTCCACCCCCTTGTCCTCAAAATAAATAAAATGTCTCTTCAGATCTGAATCTGACTGGGCAAAAAACTTAGTCAGCGGTCAGTTGGATGAGCGTTGGTAAATGTTGTTGTTGTAAATGGCATCAGGCGGTTGAAGCATGGTACACCTAGTAAACATCTATCTTACGGGAGAGCGCGACTATTCCGAAAGTCGTAAGGATATACCAATTTTTAGCTAAATCATTCATGCCGACAAGACAGCTGTATGCTGAATGCAATGGAGAAGATTATCGACAACGAAATACCATGAAACATGCTGAAGCAGACCGAACGTTCGGTCGGACATTAATATATTAAATAGAGCCTATTATCGTTGGCGTTGTTTGAAAGATTGAAATGTATATCACCAAAAAAAAAAAAAAACAATTTACAGAATAGTTTTAAGCAGTTTTAAAGTTCTTAGCTAAATCTCCCAAATAGGAATGAACATCCATAGTTCTTTGCCTCCGAGCGGTTGATTGAAATTAATTCGGAGAAAAAGAAAAAACCGCAGCGTTGCAACCGCTGTTGAAACAATTTTTCGATTCCTAATGAAAACTAATTTTAAAAATTATCGCCTTGGATTCATATTAGGTAGCATTGTCAGCTACTGAAACAATTTATTTTCATACATATAGTTTAATTCATTCTTTATCTTAAATACATTTATGGATGCAAACAAATTTAATGGTGGTGTCCATCTTTCTTTACGAACCTTAGCCCACAGTAGCCGCAGATTTGAGGACCAGGTTTATCCTTGAAACAAATAGCATAATAAAATCATTACATTTTAAATGTGGGTGGTCAATTTTACAATAATTTGCGTTCACTTACCAAATTGATATAGATTTTCGGATGCCCCAAATTAGCATCACCGCCATCGCAATAGACAACACGTTCGGTAACTTCGATTGGTGGCACTTCATCAATCAATTTGATACCCCAATTTTCATTTACATATCGTTTTGCGTTTACGAAGCGAACGTTGCGATAGTCATCCTTATCGAAAACCTATTTGAAATATACGAATCCACATTACATTGCGGTAGCAAAAACAAAATAGGAACGTTTGCGTAATAGCCTGATGTAGTTGTGGTACATACTTGACCAGTGTGGGTGGGTTTTTCTAAATCGCTACTGTAGTTACGGCATGCTTGGACGACGGACGATCCCAGAGCACGGTTACAGCCATTGCGGCTTAAAAATTGCAATCCAGTGGATAGTTTTGTGCAAGCCATGGAATTAACTTTTTTAACCTCTAGCAAATCTGATAAAACGATTGAGAATCCAACGAATAAAATAAACTGTCAAAATCATATGTTTCTGTGAAGTGATGCCACGGCGACAGATGAGTAGAAAATTTTAAATCTCTTGAAGCATTTACGTCACAAACCAACGTAACAAATTATCGTAATTTGGTGGCCAGTTCGCGCAATAGCATATTTCGCGCCCATTATTACCGTTTTTAGAAAGTAAGAAAAGTTCTACCCATGATTAGTTGCGTTTTTTTACTCATTTCCAGTAAAATCCAGTAAAAGTTTTTACGAATTTTCATGTTTTGGCGTTTTCGTACGCAAAAACTTGCAAAGTAGGGGAAATTGAGAGAGCGAAATATGACAGCTGAAGTTGCAAGTTTTTACTGGATTTTACTGGATAAATTTTTACTTGTAAGAATTTGCCAGTACGAAAAACAGCTGATCGCATGTTGCTGGATGAAATTTAAACTAATAAGGAAACTGTTTGTGGCTTTTTATTGTAGAATTTCACAAAATAAACCTATTTAAATACAAAATATATTGTTTTATAAGGAATTTGCTGCGAATAAACAACCAATTTATCAGCTGTTCATGAAACTTGCAAATTATTACTGGAAAAGCGTTCGCGTACTTTTTTGCAAATTTTTTCTATGAGAGCGAATTCTTAGAAATAAAGTTACTGGAGAGTTACTGGCAAGTTACTGGATAATTTGTAAAAAAACACAACTATTGAATCATGAGTTCTACCAAGAGCCGAGTAGCGTTCTTTTTTTAAGAGTTCACTCCCATAAGGTATACTGTGCCCATAAGTCAGTTGTAGAAAGTGGAAAAAATATACCCAAAGGTCAGCTCTAAACTTTTACAAGTAAGTTCATCTATGTAGTATACCCCGGCTTTACAAGGATGGATGTAAATATCCTTGGTATGTCTGGAATACCAACCGTTTAGCTTCTATAGAACTTAAAATTATACTCGATGGAGCTATTTCTTTGGACAAATTTTTTATTTGCACTAATAACAATTAAAAAATTAATTAAGCAGTAGGAAGGGGATACTTGAAAGCAAAATCAGGCCAAATTTTCAATTTTTTTATACTCCAACGGTTGGCAATCTAGGATTGTTCGAGACTCCTTGCCAACTTGCCAACTTGTAACGCCCACTGTACTGTTAACTTCAAAAGGACTAAACTAAAAATGTAAAACCAAGGTTACATTTTCGATCAACGTGTATAAAGAGTATTATTTTCAACGGCCGAAGGGTCCAAGTGTTTTCAATATACATATATACATTTTTTAATAATTAGGTTTTCGTTCAATAACGTAATTGTACCGAAACAAAAAGCAGGAAAATTATAGGTATTTTGCCCAGTGTTACCTCCATCATGATAGTCATCTATTTGAATCGCATTCTTATTTACAATAATATTTATTTAATTTCCGTAGATCTTTTATATTCAATTACAAATTTTCAAAATATTTTTTTAAATACATAGGTACATCATATGTACATAAATCAACACTTTTATCATTATGCTGGGGTATTGCAATATTTTATATATTCGGAATTTTAGTATATCTTTCCAAAAAATGGACCGATAATACGCTTCAATCAATAATACCCTATATAAACGTAATTATTAACGTCTATGTATGCTGTATTTAACAAATGAGAAAACTTTGAATACTTTACAAAAATAAAAAGTATTTATAATTTAAATGGAAAATACATAATGGAACGTAGATACGCAGGATGCCGATATAAATTTTTTTCATTTGTGTTACAAGCATTCATTACGGCGGACCACAGGAGGCGATTATCAGACGATAGAGTGCGCCTTAACCAAGCATAAAGCGTGCTGGTTATTTATACATACATAATTAGGTTTAATATAAAGAATTCTGCGTTTTAGCACTTCAACGGTTTTAATAGAGTACACGTCTATATTTAAACAATTTCTCGTGCAGTCGGTATAAAAGCTTCCCAGTACGAAATAATCTGATAAAAAGAAAAATATATACATATTTATATAGTTAATTCAAATTATCGTTTGGTTGAAGTTACCTGTTGTTGATGCGCCATTTGATCTTCAATGTATTTCATGGTATTAATTTTGAATTCACGTACTCGGTTTATTTCAAATCGTTCCATTTCTTTTTTAATTTCCGCCGATATGTCGTCAAACTGCTGTTGGCATCGCTGAACTTTGGTTTGCCACTGCAAATTTGAAAATACACACGTAAAAAACTTAAGTTATACTAGAAGTTTTATTGCAAACCTCTTCGACTTCCTGTTGCGCCTGTTCCAACTTGTCAGTACGGTTGGCCAGTTCGTAACGTCCCCGGTTTTCACGTCGTTTCGACAATTGCAATTGTGCGTGTTGCCAGTTTTGAAACACCTTAACACGTTCATGAAATACAGATTTAACAGCGCTGAATAGATCGATATAATCCTTTACGAATTCCGCCATTATAAAAAAGTCAGAGTTAGCCTGCTCTGACCGTAGTAATTCGATTTTTTCTTCTACATCAGCTAAATTGGAGAGCGCTCGAGAAAGGCCGGTGTGTTCTTCACATGTACTCAACATGGCCGCGGACTTTGCGACCAACCCGGTAAGGGCGGACAACTCTTTGCGTGTGGTAACAAGCGATTTAAGCGCTGAATGTAGTTTTTGTAGATTTGCATCTAAATTTTCCACCTCAGTGATTTTTTCATCGAACCACTAAAATTAAGAAAGTATTTAATAAATTGAGAAATTAGCGGTAATTTTCACAATATTTCTGCTCACAGCATCGCTTTCATCCATTTTATATGTAATTTTATTTACTGTTTCGCCAACTTTATTGAAAAGACGCATTACGCCAGCACCACTCAGCGTTGCTGTATTAACTGCGCGAGGAAGTTCCTTCGATTAAATAAAATAGCTTATAATAAGCATTTTAATTGCAAGTTAGATAGATTTACTTGATCACTTTCTAAAAAGTTGATGAAATCGAGATCAACGCGCAGTACTGGATGTTGGGCAGTGCGATTAACATAGCGTTGTAAAGCTGCGCGGCGTGTTTCGACCCATTCAGCATTTCGGGGTGCACCAGGCTCCGTTTGTTGTGGACTCATTTTCACTTTAGTGCTCCCTGTACAAAAACATTATGTAACCGAAAAGCAAAAAGTTAAAAAAAAAATAATAGTCATTACATACCTAAAATATTTTTAGATGGCGCTGGCGGGATGATTCTACCAAGTCTTGTATATTTTGCGGCTAAGACATCATGTATTCCTAAAAAGTCGCTAAATCGTCTCATCGTACTAAACTCAGTGCGCTTGAATTTTGGAATGTTTGTTTTCGTTGTCACTCTAGGGGAAAACGTATTTATTAATACATGTGCATACATATCGTTACCTTAATATAGAGATGGCCTATCAAACATGTTTGTTTCCTTACAGAGTTAATAAAAACAGTCTTCGATTGGGTTAAAAAATGAGGTCCATGTCTGTCTATATAAAGGTAAACGCTATATTTGTCTTTAAATAATACAAACTTGTATGTTAGGTATGAACCGATTCCATCGCCGACTTTTTGTGGTTCTGCCACGTTGACTTCAATGAAGTAGTCGCCATTGTCGGTCAGTACATCTTCCAGATTGCTGGATGAAATGCGGCGCTACAAATAAAAGAAGATATCTTACTTTAAAAAAGTTGTTAAAATACGATAAATAACAAAATTTTTCCATTTGTTGCTTTAACATAACTATCACCATTATTCAAAATTCAGAATCACAATTCCAAGTTATCCATGCGTTAATCGAGCCTAATGCACCCAATTAAATACCATAAATATGTAAATACACTGCCGGATCAAAGTATTGGCATAGCAAATTTTTTACAATATATGCAACAATTTTTATTCTAATATTTTTCCGCCAATTTTTTATAAACATATGGTTCGTTCTACAAAAAAAAAAACAAAAATATAATTCCTAAACTTTGTGCAAAACTCACACAAATTTTCAACTTTTTGAGTACACAGATTTGTAGCCAAATCAATTTTATTATAATAAAGTACAAGTTTTAAGTAGCTAGAAATTACCGTTGAGCTTTGCCAATTTTTTTTCACGCAGTCTTCCGTACAAAAACTGTTTTTTGAAAATACTTTATATGGAAGAAATGCAAAACACCTTCAACAAAAAAAAATCTCAAAAATCAATGCGATTTTTTACTAACTCCGAACGTGCACTTTTTTTTACTAGAATTTAAGGGGCTGCAAAACCGTACTGAAAAAAATTCTAAAAAATCTGATTAAAAACTTGAAAATTTGCTGAATTTTTGCGAGTTTTGCACAAAGTTTAGGCATTATATTATTATGTTTTTTGTTGTAGAATGAGCCATATTTTTATACGAAATTGGATAAATATTAGAATTATTGTGGAAAATTTGCTGTGCCAATACTTTGTTCCGGCAGTGTACATACATACATACACACATATAAAATTTTGTTGATAAGATGTTTTACTTTGCGCCTTTTACAACGCAAACTAAAATTTCCAACCAAGCAGCGTATAGCAATACAGTAAAGCGCTGCGCCGGCTACAACGTACATATGTGGGTTTGTGTGCGCGTACAGCTATCGATGCGATAAACAATTAAATGAGTATGAATATAAAAATGTAACACATTTGAGACACCGCCCATTCTTTTCTCCGATTCAAACCCAGTCATATTTGCCAAAGTTGCAACTGAAACCATTAGGTGATTTGGTCTCGCTGGTTAAAAAATAATAATTTTTAATATTTAAGATTTAAGGTTCTCTTACATGTATTTCAATAGTAGGTGTTACTGCGAATAGATCGTTGCTCACAGTACCAGGCGCTGGTACTTCCTCTTCCTCGTCGTCTTCCACACCGGAGGCACTACCGTTATTTATGTCCACATCAGCGAATTGCTTCTGAGCATCCGCTATGTTTTGTTCATCGGCCATATTTTGCTATTCAGTTAAATGGTATTAGCTACAATGTGCCAAATTATTAAATTAACTAAACGATTTCGCGTTATAGTGGGACAGAAATCGTAAATGTTTAGTTTTATTCAACTACCTAAAAACACAAAGAATGCAGATGCAAAATTTCTACTTGTCATTTGGACAGTTCAACTATGTCGATAAAGCAGTTCAGCCGTGAAATAGTGCTACCATCGCGCAGGAGAAACGTTTTCTGGGGGTGAATCTGATTTATAAATAATCCTTTTCCAAGTTTTCACTTCTTTAGCAGATTAAAAAATGGAAATTTCAGACTGCGAAGAAGCGCTGTTTTTGTTTAATTTTGCCTACTGAAAAATATTGGCGAAAAAGACAAAAAACGCACTTGCGAAGTATACTCCTTTATCTAACTTTTTATAAAACAACAGGAAAAGTCTGCTAATTTATCCGATTCCTTTTAATAGGTGCAGGAAGTCTAGAGAAAATAATCAAATTGCGTTAAGTAACTTCGAAAGCATTTTGCCGTTCACATGCGAATGCTTTGCGTACGCACACAGCTGAGTGTGAGCTCGAAAAAAAGGCATATTATATATATTTTTAAATTCGTTTTTATTCTATAATTCTGAAAGATATTTTAATTCTCTATCTTTTCATGTCTCAAAAAGTTGAGTAATAACGAAGATATTAGTCAAAATAAAAAACTCACGCTCACGCTCTTATTGAACTGTATATCAGGTTTTATACTACCTGACGTATCACGCAATTTTCTATCGTATCGTTTTCGACCCGTCAACGGAGGTTACGATTCGAGCCCTCGCTTTCGACCTAAAACTTGTGTTTTCGTCCATGTAAAGTCTGTCAAACGAAAACCAGTTTTCGCTGATAACTACTTGAAAACTCACGTTCCACTCATTCCAATCGGTGGCCAAATTAAAATAAGAATTGAATAAAAAGGTTGTTAATGAAAAGAAAATGAAAGAAAAGCATTTTGCTTTTGTTTTGTTTTGTTTTGTTTTTTTTGTAGCAAAATTGTAAACGAAGGATGTAAGAAATGTCAACGAAAACACTAACAGCCGGTGTGAATAGCCTTCAGCCCACAATCCCAAAACATTTCACAGTTATTAGTTAGCTACTATGTTAATATTAAACCACCATTTTTATTTCACAGTATCAGTTTGACTAATGGTTTACTGCAGCTAACTAATGTACATCCATTAGTTAACCAATAGTTAAAAATAGCTGTTTTTCTAGTATTTAACTAATGACCCTTAGTGTGTTTTCACTTCGCTCGAAAATTAGCGAATGGTTCGGGCTATTTCAGACACGAAGATGAAGAAGTGGAACGTATTCGCTCTCTATTACCCACTATTCTAGCGTGAAGAACGGTTTCTGGGCTGATTTGGGTATTCGCGGGAATCCGCAGGATTATGTGGAACAAACCTATTTTGTGAGGTCCGTTAGTTCAAAATAATTTTAAACTACACCTTTTTCAGTTGGATTTTAGAAAGAGTCAATTGGATTTTAGAATAGTCAACTGGATTTTAGAAAGCGTAAATTGGGCTTTAGAATACTCAACTGGACTTTAGAAAGCGCAAATTGGATTTTAGAATAGTCAACTGGATTTTAGAAGGCGTAAATTGGATTTTAGAATAGTCAACTAGATTTAAGAAAACGTAAATTGCATTTTAGAAAACGTAAATTGGATTTTAGAAAATGTAAAGTGAATTTTAGAATTTTCTACAAAAATTTTGAAGTAGCCAGTTTTTTATTATGTGCGGGAGTTGTCAATGCAAATTTTTCTAAAATATTCACTTTTAAGCGAACATTGTATCGGCATATTAAATAATTTTTTTTTAATAAAAAAAAAAATAAAAAATTGAGGTAAAAGACGACTGTGGTATTTGCTTAGTTACAATGCGCAGAGCATTTATTTCACACAATCTGTGTGAGAGAATTGGGTGATCCTGACCCAGACTCTGGATGTTCGTTACAAAACAGCATGGTCATGGGTGAATTCTGGACGCAACATTCCTAAACTCAAAGGTGGAAACAGATCGAAAATATTATCGAATGACCAAGTAAACGTTCTATTGGTGTGGATAGAGAATAACTGCAGCATAACTAGAAAAAAAAATTGTCGAGCGCATCCACAGCGAATTTGGAATATCCCTCTCCCGAACTAGAGTGGGAAATTACCTTGAGGGCAGACTGTATACTTTGAAATACGTACACACCCAGCCAAGTACGATGAATAGCGCTACAAATAAGGAAAACGGGCAAATTACGTCCTCCAATTAAATTATTATTCAAAGTGGAAAGCAAATAGTTTGGATGGACGAAACAAATTAATTTATTTTGTCGTCATACCAAGGGACGGTCCAAAGTCGGTAGTCGTGCTCTGCAGCAGGTTTCTGCAGCCAGAGGACCGAACGTACATTTAATAGGCGCAATAACAACTACAGGTGTTGTGATTGTTGACAAACAAAGAGGATCGTTTAATGCATCAGCCTGTTCCTTATGGATACGCAAATTGTTAGACAAATGGGAAGAGCAGGGCAATAGCCTTAGTGATTTAATTATTGTATGTGACAACGCTCCATGTCATACTAACTTGGACACTCACATCCAAGAATATTCGGGTGGAAGGTCACAAATCTTAAGAATAGGTCCGTATAGCCCAATGTTGAACCCAATCGAAAATATAAAATATAAAAAATAAAATGCCACGTTAAATGCCATATGGGCATACCTCAAACAGAAGGCTCCGAGGTATGCGAGCAAATGTTGCAATTTTTAGAAAGGTTAATAGATAACGCAAAAGTTACAGTTACTGGAGGGGATTGCGCAAGAGCAGTGCAGCACAGTACTACTTTCTATGCGGATGCAATTGCCAAACGAGATATGAGAGTTGGTGAATAAAATTTTTTAATGGCATTTTATTTCTTCCAAGTATGTAAAACATTGAATTTTGTTACATATACTATTGTCTTGCTCTTCCAATTTACATTACTCATTTGACATTACATTTCACTCCGGTCATTATCATACTTACGTGTACGTGTCACAATTCATTATTATATTGCACCTATATTCTTTTTATATACATACATTATTATAATTTTAATATTCCGCTCACGTCTTCATTATCCGCTTTCTTTTATAATTCATACAGATCGTATATTCCTAAATGTAACCTGTTGTTTAACTTTAATATATATTATATTGTTAAAACTTAATAAAAAGTATGTATTTATAACCTGATAGATTGGCGCGTACACATATGTTAGTTCTCCTCCGACTTGTGGCGTTGTCACACTTGATGTTGTCACACAAAGCATAGGGACCTACAGTTTTACGCCAACTCCGAACGGTGATTGTATTTTTTTATGAGAAGCTGTTTTTCATGGCAGAAATACACTCGGAGATTTGCCATTGCCTGCCGAGGGACGACCGCTGTTAAGAAAAAAACCTTTTTCTATATTTTTTTGCGATGTTGCTTTGCCCAGGGCGTGAACCCAGGTGCTGATGAGTCAAAGCGCGCACTGCTTACCACTACACCACAGCGGCCGACCTTATAACCTGATACTTCAGCAATATTTGAAACTACATAATCATGTGCATAGCATAGTGTATGAATCATTAAAAAATTAACCATCCAATTAACGCTTTATAAAATCCAATTTACACTTTCTTAAATCCAGTTGACTATTCTCTAATCCAATTGACTCTTTCTAAAATCCGGTTGACTATTCTAAAATCCCATTGACTATTCTTAAATCCATATAGCCTTTTCTAAAATCCAATTTACGCTTTCTAAAATACAATTGACTATTCTAAAATCCAATTGACTATTCTAAAATCCAATTGACGCCTTCCGAAATCCAACTGGAAATTGTGTAGATTCGATTCGTTTTTTGCATGTTTATTTCTTGAATATAAACATATTTCGATATTTGTTTATAAATTATGTTTTCTTATTGGACGATATCCATGAAATAAAGTCAGACACTTGTACATAAACAGATGGTGAATTAGCTTGGCCACATGGAATTTTCCCCCAAGAAACAATACCAATTAATATAGCGTTCCTATTAATTTCTTGAACCAGAGGGCCACCAGAGTCAGATGTACAAATGCCAATGCCTCCAGAGAGCGGTCCGGTGCATATATTCGTTGAATGAACATCCACGCCTTTAGATCCCAGTGCGCCGACGCATGAAGATTCATTTATAATTGGTAGATTTTTGGCGACCTGTAGCTGAGCGGGATAAGATGCTACAGATGTAGTCGACGTAGAACCCCAACCATATAAATTCGCGTTACCAGTTGGCACTACTCCAGATGATGGTAATGTTACCGCTTTTACTGCAGTTGTCCATTGAAAAGCTGTCTCAGTATAAACGAGCCCAATATCGTATGGTGCAGTACCGCCTGTGTACAGATCATGTGTTACATACCAGTCGATTGTACGTTTTTGCGTAGTACTTGCTGTACCATCAACATTGTTGCTGCCTGCGATAAGTGTGCTGCTCAAAACTTGTGACTTTGAAGCGAGGCAATGGGCAGCGGTGACTACCCAATTTGCACTTAAAATGCTACCAGCGCAATAATGCACACCTCCTTGTTGGAGCGAAACAATATAAGGTGCTGCGTTAGTTGATGCAGCAACTCCTCCCACAACTCGTCCACTAATTAAAGTTTCCGGCGAGGTTAAACCGACAATATATTGGCTAAAAAGAGCCAAAGTAAAAATTATCGAACGCTGAAGAATCATGCTTTCTAACTACTTCGGGGTTTCGTCAACAACTGATCATTCAAAGTTTGAAGCGCGATAATTTTGCTTTTTAAAATAAAACGCACTTACGTTCGATTTATTTTCATTTATTTATTTACTAATTTAATTAAGAACTCGCATTTCCTTTGAAATTCTGTTATCAGATGGTATTGGCACTTGCTAATTTGTATTTTACGTTTTCTGTTGTATACATACATACATATGTATGCAGCAAAAGCTATTATCTAATCAAAGCAATTAGAAACGCTCCAGCTGTGAAATTTTATAATAGCTGTGATTAAGAGATAAGTGGATTTTTCTTTTAAAGATTATTTCTTTATTCATAGAAGCGTCTCTAAATTGAAGTGAAGTATTTATTTTAGTTAATTTAATTAATTATGATGACTGTCTTCTTTTACTTCTGCTGTGATATTCTGATGTCCTTCCCGGAAATTTTTCATTTAGATCCATTCCCAGCCAGCAAAATCATCGTAAACAAGCTCGTAATTGGATATTTTCTCGAAGAAAAACCGGATTAAAAATCGTTTATGATAGCCGTTTGCGACTCTTTTTCGAGCACTTTTTCGCTTTAAATTGTGCATCGCCTACGAACAGTCGTAAACAGATCGAAAAAGCATTCGTATGCGAATATTTTTACGTCCGTTTTTTAATTGTAAACGAGTCTCGTAAACGATTAATTTACGTTAAAAAAGCGTTTTTCTACACTGCTTTATCTACTGTTTTTGAATGCTAAAAATAAAGGCAATTAATTAATTCAAATTATTGTAGTTCTTTTATTGAATGGAATTATAATTAATAAATATTTATAGTGCCGGATCAAAGTATTGGCACAGAGAATTTTTCGCAATGTATGCAAAGTTT